CCCAAGCCCCCCGCCCCACCAGAGCCACAGCTCAGGGGCGGCACGCCCCCAGAGTCCCAAATCCCCCGCGCCCACCCTGGACCCGCCCCAGCAAGGCCAGGCAACCGGACCAGCGACCCATGACCGCTGCTACAAACTACCCGAGGGCCCACATGCAGCCACCAGAAGACATCCCCCAGAACCACCAAGGCGCAGAGCGAGAGCAGCATCACCCCCGCTCCGGAACAGGAAGAAATCTCAGCAGAACCAGAACCAGGCTCAGGACAGTTGGCCATCACTGAAAATGCTAATTCTTTTAGTGTTCATTCATTCTAAAAACAAAATTGCAGGTGTTTGATGAATTGAACTTGTTTAATATAGTGTGACAGAGAAAACAAACAGACAATAGAAAGCTTACACTCACACTGAGTGTACAGCCATCAGCAAAATTAAGAAAGGTTTGGCAGGTAATAATGAATTTTCTTTTCAACATGGTCCAGGTTAAGAGAAAAACAAAGGGATCTCCCATGAGTTTGAAATGTAGCTGGCAAGTTTGAAGATGATCACACATAATCAGAACCAGACTGATGGCAGGCAGGCTGTGGGACCAGCAGACTACACAGGCGAACGTAATAGGACACTGTTTTTCTTGCCTACAGTAGCTCTTTGGCGTCAGCTGCGGCTTGGCCAGTGAGCATGTGTGAGCTCAAAGATAAAAAAGTGGGATCACATACTTCAGGAGATGACTTATGATTCAAACTGGCGGTAGGAAAAAAGTAGCTGTAGTTACTGATTGGCACTGGTTAGCGGGACAGGGCTGCACAAGCTGCTAAAGAACTCTAAATCCCTGTGCTGGGGCACACTTCAGTGGTAGTCTGTAAACTTACCCAGATGGATTTTGTGAGGCTCTGAAAAACACAGTTAGCCACAGCTGTCATCAGAACCCGAGTTTTTCAGACCATTGACAAAAGATGGACAAAAGTGACTCCATTAACTTCAGTTGTCTAAATTTCAATTTGTGGTGCCATGGAGTCATAGTTTATGCACTAAGGAAGTAGAGCTGTGGCATCAATAAATAAGTCCTACACACTGCTAACTTGCTGATCGGCTGTCAC